TTTATATTAAATATAATTGTTCTTTTAAAATCTAACACTACTTTTTTTTTTAACCAAAGTCTATTTAATCCTGATATTTAATGATATGCACCTTAATTGTACGGGTCGTTTAAAATGGTGGCAATGCACTAAACTTGGGCCTAGAAAAGAGCACTTCCAATGGTATCGTCACAATGCATGTATAGGCAAGTACGAATATATCAATATGTGTAGCGTTCATTGTGACATCACAGCGCGTGACATTCAGTCTGGATTGTACTGGATCATACCTCTTTAGGCTCATTTTCTTCAAAAAATGTATACGTACTTTAACATTAATTTTGCCGTGTGCACTTTGCGGGGCGTCTAAATAATAATCTTCTAAAGGAAAGTAGATGTATATGAATCCAAATGAAACAAATACTTGCCACTTAAACGTATGTTGAATCAAATTCTATAAAACGACACCAATTACTGAAATAATCGGTGTTTAATGGATCCATGACCTGTGTGACTTTACTATAATAATGTATCCAACAATCACGACGGTTTAGATTCTGACGTATGGTCATCCTTGAGGAAACGGAAACAGGAAAATCCAAATCAAACCACCGATTTTGCATGCGCAATCACTTGTCTTAGAACTAGCCGGATCCGTGGATAGAATTGGAAATCTGATAGCTTTGAACGAAAATATATTTTCAAATTTCTATCTAAAATGTTTCTTTCTTCCGATAAGATACTAAATCTGGTGGCGACAGTAAACAAAATACAATTCTTAACTAAAATAATAAAACAACAAATCTAGAATACTGCACTTATTGTTGATGTACTGAGGAAAGCAAAATAAAACCTGTCTTTTTAATTTTCCATTTTTCATTATTCTTTTTCTTTATTTATATTCATGGCGTTGCGACAGAAACAACAAAGAGAATACTGAAAAGATTCTGAAACGTATTAGAGGAAACACATATAGAAAATGTTTTGTATGCATGGTAATTACAAACTTGCTTAAATGAAACGATTTATGTGCATTTTGAAAGACAAACCAGTGACAGAATAAATTGTTGTGTTCCTTAAATAGCAATAACAAAACAAAACTTTTTGTTTTTGCTTTCAGATTTCATCAAGAAAGTTATGGCAGGCCCTCCAGAAGCAAAGAAGTAAAGAAACCCAGACAGTGCAGAAGAACTAAAATTTGTCTTTTTCGAAGACACATTTCTTACACATTTCAGTATTTATTGAAGCAGCTATAATAAACCATAAATAGAGCCATTTTGCAATGCAAATTTTCTCTACAGTCATCTGTTTAGTTTGTTTCGAAATATGTTGTCAAACGAAGATAGCTATTACTTGTTTGCATGCCAGATGCTTTATGTGCTCATTCATTACTGATAAATTCATCAGTAATGTGTATGAAAATGGGGACTGTCTGAACTTGAAATAATGTAACAATTTATATCTTCTTTTCCTTGAATAAGTTAGATGTACAGTGATACTCCAAGAACCTCAACATGGACGACCAAGAAGTTGAACTGAAAACTGTATTAGCTGTTGTTTAGTGTCTATTTAACTTAAGAGACTGGTTTTCGATTTTCCTCCAGGAGTAGGCGTGCCTTACATTTTGTGAAGTGACAGTATAGAAGACTGCTGAACAGTATTTAGACAGATTCACAAAATATATCAAGCATTTTGTTGTTCATAACTGTAAAACAAGCCGTTCAGCTTTGAAAATAGCTTCAATTTCTACTTCTTTTTCTCCAGTATAATCCAAAATTAAAAATATTCCACCCCAAACATGAAAAAAATATTTTAAATACCATTGATGCAAGTGAATTTTTCAAGTAAAAACTGGCACATAGGTCACATTTCAAACACTCCTAAATGTATACATTAGACAACAACAATTTTATCAGCATGAACGTAGAAATTTACTGCTTGGGAAGGCTTGATATTACTTACGACTATAATTATCATTATTTAATACATATTGATTGATAAATACTTTATAAATTTTAGCTTTGTATGAATTCTTTAGTACAGTTATGCTTGTGTGACAATATCTGTTTCATACATATTACATATTTTGGTGTGATATTTTGAGAATATCCTATTAATTTCATGGATATAACACAATAATGGCTGAGTAGTGTACATATATATTCCAAAATGAACAAAATACCACTGTCAGTCAAGTTGTGCATATAATGTTTCAAATGACCAATCATATCAGCCCTTTTCCCAATCTGTTGACTTTACTCTGAGATTTTGATCTTCAATTGTCAGTTGGTTATTCTCTATGCTAATCCAATGATCCAACAGTAAATACAACAGTTTCAAAGATTATTTTTTATTTTACTGCATTCTCCACATCATACTCGGTTGCTGGGAGGTATCAATCATGTTAGAACCACATCAGCATTGACATCCAGTCCTCTACATGACATAGCTGTAAGAAACTGATCCAGTCAGATTTCTCATTCTATTTACCAAGGTACAAAGTTGTCAATCATAATCGCAACACCCCACCCCCTCGTCTACTGCAGGTCATATCACCCATTTCTCCAATTCAAACTGTTCATGCACAAGCTTTCTTCCAGTCCAAGATATATAGACATCACAGATGACATGATATTGAACTTGTTTAATAAGCTGTCCCATGAGTAAATTGGCTTGACTTGCTGTGGGTTCTCACTCTTTTATCGAAAGGAATTTTGTTCCAAACAGCTATTTTGACTAGTTACATATTTCAAGGGTTGATGTGGAATAAAATGGATTGTCTACCCTTGGCTTGGCAAATGTAGAACACTCTACAGCTGGATATGGATTGTCTACCCTTAGCTTGGCAAAATGTAGAACACTACAGCAGGATATGGATTGTCTACCCTTGGCTTGGCAAAATGTAGAACACTCTACAGCAGGATATGGATTGTCTGCCCTTGGCTTGGCAAAATGCAGAATACTACAGCAGGATATGGTAGTAAGAAATGTTACATCATCTAAATGTAGCCAGAATTGGGATACTGAACACTCAATCTTAGCCAATTGTTTTGAGAAAATTAGGCACTTTCCAGATTCCATCACCACCTGCCATAAGCCAATTTACTGTTGGTATAATGTATTATTGTGTGTGTACTTATTTTACTCCTACTCCTGTAATGAACCTTTGTGCATAAATGTGTCCAGTACAATAACTGTTTTTAGAAAGTGTCACTTGGGAAATTAATCATTTTGAGATATGGCTCACAAATTGTATTGGCTTGAAAATATAATTAAATTTAAAAAAATACATTTACAACATATAAGATTGTGGCTGACCTGTATATGAATGCAAACAAACCTCAAGTTAAAAGACATTCTAGGTATGCATTTAGCGGACATTTGTAATCTGTAACCCTCTGTCTCCATCTATGCTGAGTTTCGTCATTTATGGTCAAAAAGCAAGATAAAATAGATAAGTAAATTTCTACAATTGTATAAAAGTAACCAACAACTTACTTGTCTTCCCTAATTCACAGTGTGGTGATGTTCAGTACACTAATATCTCATGTATAGTTCAGACAGTACTTTCACATTAAAAAAAATATTACGGCAAAAAACAAACAAATGATCTCTCACACTTAAAATCCAGTTTGCTTCTATTTCTTTATTTGTCATTATTGCATATTTATATTTGCCAGGAACTGAAGTCTTATGTTCTTGGAAAAGAAAATTTGTTCTTATTTTTGGAAACATACCTCCATATCAAATACCAGTAGTTTTTACATAAGGGTATGTCATTTTATTTGCAAAGAAAGTGGTATCAGTTTTAGATCATACTTAATGGATTGAATGCAAGGTGGACATGTTGTAGGAATTTATTTTCTAAACCCTGAAAACAATAACCAATATTACAAATCATTAATTTAATGGTCAACTTTATAAGTTGCTTATATTAATTTTGCATGAATAACTGATGAAAACTGATTTGAAATGCCATTAATCATCCAAAGTGAGAAAGTTCATCTAAAAAATTTAAAGTTAATGCATATATTTAATGATATATTAGTTGGCTCATAATGCTAATGTTACTTAAGCATATCAGATGTATATTAGTTATATTTTAATTATTTATGACTAAGAAAATCACTAAACTACAGTATTCATATACAGATAGTATGTGTTTGTGTTTAGTAGTGCTATGTTGTATTAACATTGCTACATTTTACATATTAAATTATTTAGACAGAAATTTTGTTTTACTTATTCACCTTCGGCTCTGACAAAATCAAACCTGTAATTACCTTCTGTCTGACTTTAATACACTTACCTGTCTGTTCAGTAATTTGTCTCTATACCTAAATTCTTACCTTTCTATACATCTTCTGTTTGTCCATGCTGGTGTATCTAAATACAATTACCTGCTTATTGTTTATTAATTAATGTGCTTATCCTGCTGTTTATCTACATACTGTCTATACTCATTTATAAATCAAGTCCAACTGCAAACAACAAAGATCATGATCCACCATAGCATAAATTTCCTGCAGACCAGGGTCTATGTTTATTCTATTGGTTACTTCTAACAAACTGCACAGATCCAGATCTGCCAGTATATTATGTGATGGTGGCATTGGGTCTGTGAAGTTTGCAATTGGACTTGTCTTACAAGTGGGTACATATGGTTGTTACAAACCCATGTAACTGTTTAAGCATGTTTGTCTTTCTGTCTGTCTGCTTTCCTATTTTTCTGTCAAATAATGCTCATATTCAGAAAGAGAGAGAGTGTGTGTATTTGTATTTGTGTGTGAGGTTTGGATTTTTAAAGTAGTTTTAAAAAAATTTCAGTAATATCACTATGATGTCTGCAATGTGGCAGTTTATAGTGATGTTTAGCACAGGGGAATCAAGCCACGGACATGTAGCATGATGTCCCACCCAGTCACAATAACCTGACACCAGGATGACCAGTCCTAACACTAACCTCTTAATGCTGATAGCTTAGCAAGGCAACTGTTAGTACCATTTTTATAAGTCTTGTATGACTCGGATGGGGATTGAACCCATGACCTCCTGCATCCGAGGCAGATGCTAATCACTAAGCTATCTGAGTGTTCTATATTTAGAAATAAGTATTGCAATGCATATTGTGTAGGATATATCGTATACGAGTAAACATGTTGTTGTGATTAGATTTATGATTATCAAGTTCAAGCAAACAATGTCATCATTTCAGCAAAATGCAAGGTGTATAAAACTTTCAAAAAAGGGGAGAGTTTACAATCAGAGTTACTTTCACAATCACACACAGTGATTTGCCAAAAGGTTGACCAACAGTTTTTTTTCCAAGACCAAAGTTAATAAATACAAAAAATTTAATACAAAAGGAATTAAACTTTGAAATCTGGCCATATTTCTTAATAAAGGAAGAAAATAAAACAGTTAATGTAGTAAGGAAAGAGTCATTCATGGTTTATACAAATTGTAGCCTTGCTGTAACAGGAGGAAAGATTTACAACAGAAACTAAGTTTTGTATACCAAATTAACTGCTTCTCGAACAACAAAATGGAAGAATGTTCAGGAATGTGAATGCTGTTAAGAAAGATGTGTATATATATATATAGGACACATAACATGGCCAGAATGTGTATATAGGATCCATAACATGGTCAGTATGTGTATATAGGACCCATAATGTGGCCAGTATGTGTACATAGGACCCATAACATGGCCAGTATGTGTACATAGGACCCATAATGTGGCCAGTATGTGCATATGGGACCCATAACATGGCCAGTATGTTCATATAGGACCCATAACGTAGCCAGTATGTGCATATAGGACCCATAATGTGGCCAGTATGTGTATATAGGACCGATAACGTTGCCAGTATGTGTATATAGGATCCATAACGTGGCCATTATGTGTACATAGGACCCATAACATGGCCAGTATGTGTACATAGGACCCATAACATGGCTAGTATATGTACATAGGACCCATAAATTGGCCAGTATGTGTATATAGGACCGATAACATGGCCAGTATGTGTATATAGGACCGATAACATGGCCAGTATGTGTATATAGAACACATAATGTGGCCAGTATGTGTACATAGGACCCGTAACATGGCCAGTATGTGTACATAGGACCCATAACATGGCCATTATGTGTACATAGGACCCATAACATGGCCAGTATGTGTACATAGGACCCATAAATTGGCCAGTATGTGCATATAGGACCCATAACATGGCTATTATGTGTATATAGGACCCATAACATATCAGATCCATAACATGGCCAGTATGTGTATATAAGACCCATAACATGGCCAGTATGTGTATATAAGACCCATAACATGGCCAGTATGTGTATAGAAGACCCATAACATGGGCAGTATGTGTATATAGGACCCATAACATATCAAATCCAAAACATGGCCAGTATGTGTATATAGGACCCATAACATGGCCAGTATGTGTATAGAAGACCCACAACATGGCCAGTATGTGTATATAGGACCCATAACATGGCCAGTATGTGCATATAGGACCCACAACATGGCCAGTATGTGCATATAGGACAAACATGGCCAGTATGTGTATATAGGACCCATAACATGGCTAGTATGTGTACATAGGACCCATAACATGGCCATATGTGTATATAGGACCCATAACATGGCCAGTATGTGCATATAGGACCCACAACATGGCCAGTATGTGTATATAGGACTAACATGGCCAGTATGTGTATATAGGACCCATAACATGGCCAGTAGGTGTACATAGGACCCATAACATGGCCATATGTGTATATAGGACCGATAGCATGGCCAGTATGTGTATATAGGACCCATAACATGGCCAGTATGTGTACATAGGACCCATAATGTGGTCAGTATGAGTACTTAGGACCCATAACATGGCCAGTATATGTACATAGGACCCATAATGTGGCCAGTATGTGTACATAGGACCCATAACATGGCCAGTATGTGTATATAGGACCCATAACATGGCCAGTATGTGTATATAAGACCCATAACATGGCCAGTATGTGTATATAGGACCCATAACATGGCCAGTATGTGTATATTGGACCCATAGCATGGCCAGTATGTGTATATAGGACCCATAACATGGTCAGTATCATAACACACATTTAATAAATTGATAATAAGCAACACCATATACTGTTTTAATATCAAATTAAATAACTACATGTACTTCATTCATTTATTCCATAACATGCATCATGTAAACAAAATACCATTGTAAAAACAGTCTTGATTATGGATTTTATCAAACTCTATTAACTTTTGTGATTATATGGAACTATATAGTACCATTATGTGAGTTCAGTTTGTTACCCATTCTCTCTCCAGGATATACTTTAAAGCTAACCGTTTACATGTGGTCATCAAACATGATTTGAATTCTAAGTAAAACATTTCAAACCATGATAATTTCTTTTATCCCACCACTACTGTATCTCCTTGGTATAACTGCATGTATTTTTTCAAGCATTTATAAACACAGAACCCTTTGTCACAATAATGATTAAAGTTTCTTAATAGAAAGTTATGACTACTTTAAAGCTTTTAATTGATTCCTATTCAATCATTAGTTACATGACAATTAGTTGTAAAGAATCTGTTCAAATTGGATTCGGTTTATCCCAGTGAATAGGCATGACACAAATATTGGAAGTGACTGTGTCAAACCAAAATCTCTAAGGTGGGTCTACTTATTATGTCAGTAAAGACAAGAGGTCACAAATATTGTCTTGAGTTAACAAGGAACCCTTGAAAAAAATGTAAGCCTACAGAATTGTGGTCCTTTAGTGACTGTTCTATTTTTCCAGATGATTGTGCAAGATGATTTAGATGATAATTTAAACCTCCAGAACATGAACACAGAGAGTCCAATACTACAGGAAACAAAATTTCAGCAGGAGTTTGTACCTAGGACTCAAAATAGCTTTTTAATTCTAACTGTTCTGGTGATGTCTAGTGGTAGAGTGTTTGCCTCAAATGTGGAAATTACAGGTTTGAATCCAGCTGAATCATATCAATGGTACTAACAATGGTATCATTATCAATGGTATTAATAGCTGCCTAGCTAGGCACTCAGCATTTAGAGGTTAGTATTAGGACTGGTCGGCCTGGTATCATGATAATATGATTGGGTGGGAGGTCATGCCTCATGTCTGCAGCTTGATACCCCAGGGCTAGACATCACTATAAACTGCCACATTGCAGACAGCATAGCAATATGACTGACATAGCTACATTAAAATAATCCAAATCAAACACACACACTAATTAAAACAAAAGAACCTCACATTTTAGTCAATATATTTACATGACTGTCACATCGATTATTCATAAATTTATGTAAAATATCAGTTTTAATATAACATCAGGTAATCACAGCAGTAAGACAATTTGCAACATGTGAAAATCTGATCAACCATACTTTTTAGACCAGTTATTTTAATTGAAAGTTATGTGGCCTGGTGAGACTATGATAAATTATACTCAGGTAAAATGAAAGAAATCAGATATCAATTTACTGTATTTTTTCATACCCTTTAATTTTTTGTACACAATCAAGTTATCAAAATAATAATTATTAAAATGTATCATAACTTTTTGTACATATCACTTTGTACTTTTTGAAAACTCCATTAAATTATCGGACATAAAATTTCCACTAAGATTTATGTTTTCCAAAAAAAGATTGAAATACTGTATTTCCAGTTTGTTTTTACAAAAATTAATAATTGTTGGTGAGAAAATACAATGATTGATGCAACAGCAAAGGCGCCTGCAGCATAGGTTAAGGGGGTCATGTGACCCTTCCCTAAACTACATATGTATATATATATATATATATATATATATATATATATATATATATATATATATATATATATATGAAGCTGAAAATGTCAATATTCCGTTCAAAACGCTTAGTAAATATTAGCTTTAGCTTCAGACTGCTTACTATAATAAATCTCCTGCCTGTAACTGACTGACCCACCCCGTGCAAAAAATCCTGCAGGCACCAATGTGCACAAGCTCTCTTATTGTCATTACAATATCTACTGGTGTTTATTAACAAATGGACAAAGGACTTCACAGATCATACCTTAAAGTATTCTTGCTATTTAGTTCTCCATATTAATGTCTGTAACAAAATACCACATGCATTTTTGGAAGCCCTTTGATGTTTTCTTATCCAAAAAAATTACAGGCTAAAGTGAAGACCACAGGCCATTGGTCAACTAGTCTTATTGTTTCATTATAGTCATACAAACATAAAATATAAAAACTGTCATTTTCCATCATAAATTTTGAAAGTCATAGCCTCCCTTAAATTGATTTGTAAATATATATATACTATCATTTAAGTGCTTGTTCTTTTTTGACTTGGATAAAATTAACATTTTATTACAAATCTATTTTATAATATACCCTACTATTATATTTTATAATATACCCTACTATTATCTTTACTGCGAGTTCGAATAACAAGTAATGCATATGATCGCTTGTCCTTTTAACATCTTCTGTATGGTCAACGGCTTCAATATCATATCAACAGAATTTCTTTTCCCTAAAAACAGCCTCATTTCCCTACTGGCAGCCTCACTGATTTGACTTCTTCGGTTAATTCGTTCTCTCAATCAGGTTTCAACTGGAATAACCAAAGGGCTAAGCATGTTTATTTACCTTGTAAATAACACTGCATAGCCATGTGGTTGCTGTGATAATGTACATTAAAACAAGAATGAATTGCTGATTTAGCAATGTTTACTAATAATGGGTCCTAATACATGAGGATTATCACTCATCATGTAACTGAAAATAGTCTTTATTTCTCTTTGCAAAAGCTACAAAAAAAAGCCATCCTGAATAAATACAGTCTACTACAATGAAAAAATTTTGTTTCTTTCTCCTGCACACAAAAACACACATGCAAGCATGTGTGCATTAACTAAAATGTAATTTCAAGTTTTTTTTTTAATGCAATTTGATAATGAGATTGTTGCTGTAAACATACAATTTGCGCTTAATTTTTTGACAATGTGGACTCATATC